CCTTTAGAGATAGATACTCACATTCTCTTTAGAGCTGAAAATCCCAGAAGAAAGATTTCTGCAATCCCTGTGAAAATCTTTCTTGCCGCCTCCTTCCTGCAGCCGTCAAACATCCAGTTCGATCTCCAACTCTGAGGGGAAAAGCAAGATTCGATCTTGTCATCAGTTGTTTGAGAAAGAATTGATAGGAAGCTTTGCTCACGTGCCATCCTGCTGTTTCTTGCGAAGGATAGAGTTCTTGGAGAAGAACACTGTTGATTCTGCTCCATCCTACACTGCGCCATTTTCAGTAGGAGCAGTCTTTGGATCCTTCCTTGAGCGTGAACACCTTCATTTTGAGATAATATTTCTCTGTATCAGGTATACCTCCCTCCTACTCCTTTTTGTTCAGATCTGGTTCAGTCTATGGTTCAAGATTGATAATTGAAAATATGATTTTTTAAATAGGGAATTCGATTCCTAGTTGAAAAGGAGAGAAATTTTTTTGAAATTTGCCCACCTTATTCCGCAAGATTTGGGCGTCCATATGATGGATCTCTCATCCCTTCAAGGTTATGCCTAGGTCGGTCAAGGATCTGCTGTGCTGTTGGAAAGTAGAAGGCCTAAATAAGAAAGGAAAATTAGTGTGGAGGACCATCCCTGCAGCAGTCTTGTGGTCCATTTGGACTGAAAGGAACAACAAAATTTTCTGTAATAGAGTTAAAAGTCCTGAAGAGCTAGTGCAGAAAGCAGTGGGCAAGCTGATTTCTTGGGTGTCTGTTACTAAGGAGTTCAGACACCTGAATTTGCCTCTTTTATTTCAGTCTGTCTTGTTGGAGCTTGTAACTTGTGTTGTTCTCAGGCTTGTTTATCTTGGCCTGATCTCTGTTGTATGTTCTCGTTTTTTGAATAAAATTGTCTCTCTTCAAAGAAAGGGAGGGAGAGGTGTGGATTTCTAGAGCTGGAGAAGTGGAAGGATGGGGAGTCAGGTTAAAGAGCAAAATTATCTGAGGAGTGTGATAGGACTGAGCATCAGTAGAGGGTATACAACAGATAGAAGAGCTTCGGTTCAGGATGCGGTAAGGGTTGAGGTTGAAGGAGGGGGAGTGGAAGTCCAGAAAGAAGTGGGAGAGAATAGGAGGGAGGAGAGGTGGCAGAAGGGATCGAAGGAGACAAAATTTTAGGAGAAGGAAACATCAGTAAGGGGAGGGTGGACATCGAGCATCTAGTGGATAGACAAGTGGAAGTGGGAAAGTCACTGGGGTTATTCTTCTTCGGTGGGGAGAGGGTGGTGAGGAAGGCAATCAAACAATTTGAAAAGAATAGAAGGGAAGAATATAATAAAAGGAGGGCTATTGGGGAAGGGGGGAGAGGTGTGGGATGAAGGAGAAGAGAGGTAAGAAGGAATTGTAGACGAAGAATAAAGGAAGTTTCAAGTCATATTAAGGGCATCTGGGGAAACCCGGTCCCTCCAAGAGTTGAGGCTCTGGCTTGGCTGGTAGCAATGGATAGCATCTTGACAGCTGATCACTTGAAATTCAGAGGTTTTAATATGGCTAGCAGATGCCATCTTTGTGAGGTGCAGGAAGAGAATGCTATTCACTTATTCATATCATGCAAGTTTTGAGGCTTCCTGTGGAAAGTGTTTACATCTATTTTCGGGGTCTCTGGTTTTTATCCAACTTCAACAGCAGAGATTTTCTTTACTTGGCCCAGGCTGAGTGGGAGTAAGAAGGTGAAGATGTTATGGAGCTGTATCCCATTTGCAATTTGCTGGAACATCTGGAAGGAGAGGAACAGGACTTTCGAAGACAAAGTATGCAGCAGACAAGATGGTTGCGGCTGTGGGCAACTCAATGATAGAATGGGTGCTGATTCTTCCAGTGTAGAGAACACTAATGTGGACCCCACTATGGTGGTCCCCACTGTTTGTATGTCAGCAATAAGTTATGATTAGGATTGGTTCTTTATGATAAGATTAGTCCACATTAGTGTTCTCTACATCCAGAATTCAGTCAGTTAGAAAAGGAGTATTTTGGGATTAGGTTAGGAGAGGTCCTGGGTTATCAGATATGTAATGTAGAGCTTGTTATTTAATCTGAAAGTTGGTCTTGTACTTAGGTGATGACTTGTCACCCTCATTTATAACCTCTTTTCTCTTAAATAAAATTTTTTATTTACTCATAAAAAAATAAAGGGAGTTATTTGAAAAAAAAACAAGAAAAAGTCTTGGGGGAAAGAGGTGAGGAGTGGGAGGAAGGAGAAGGAAGGGAAGAGGATTTGGTGGAAGAAGAGTGAAGGGGCTGTTATAAGAAAAAGAGATAAGGGGTGGTGGAGGTTGAAACTGGAAATGAGACTGCTGTCTTGGAATTTTAGGGGTCTGAATTAGAATGTTCACGGGCCGGGCTTTGGGCCCAACTTTACACTGTCTTGGGCTTGGGCTTCGGGCCAGGCCCATTAGAATTTTGACAAAAGCCAAGACCGAGCCTGGCCCATGAACAGGTCTAGTCTGAATGATGGAGGAAGAAAGGTTTTAGTAAGGAGTGTAGTGATAAAATTCAGTCCAGATATGGTGCTGCTGAAAGCGACAAAGCTGCAATGTTTGGGGTTAGGAATTTTCAGCCAAGTTCTCCCGCAGAGATTTTCTATTCAAGGCCAAGTTCCAGAGGCTTTAAGATGGCTAGGGTAATTTGGAGATGTCTACCATTTGCCATATGCTGGAATATTTGGAAGGAGAGAAATAGAAGACTCTTTGAAGACAAGGAATGGAAATTGGATAGGTTAGTGGCAGATGTTTGTAAATCTGTTGCAGATTGGGTCTTGGTGATGCCTGAATTTACAGAAGTCAAGAAAGAAGACCTTGGGGATAGTCTATGGGAGGTGTTGGGATTACAAAGTTGTAATTTGGACTATTGGCAATCATTAGTTTTGTTTTTGTTTTTGCTGTTGTTAGAGTTGATTCTAGATGTTGCCTTAACACCTACTCAGTTTGTAATTTTCTTTTTCCTTTCATAGAAAATTTCCTTTTACTTAAATAAAGTAGATTCAAAATACTATTAGATATGATGATTTTCCGAAAATACTATTGTCTTTTAGATACGATGATTTGCTGTGTTTTAAGAGGAAACTTAATGTTATTGATGAAGGGAGTTTCTATTTTTTCAATTTATATACATGCTGAATTGCTGATTGGTATACAAGACTAGCGAATGAACATAGAATTTATATCTGCCTAGGTTAGTAGGTGCTTCACTATCACCTAGAATCATCTATATGTCTTAACAACCATGGTTTTCAATTTTTTTGATCTAGCATGATGTGAAACTGAGGGACAGGTATAGGCAAGGAGATGGAGTAAGAGTAGCAATAATACCTGCATCAATGGATTTTTACTTCCTCTTCCACTTTGGTTTTTCTGAGCTTTTGCCAACAATTATCGATTCATGTTTGTGTTTGGTCTGCCATCATTGTTAGAACTTATATTGTGCTTGGTTTGATAAAAAGTAAGAGAGAAACAGAAAGTCAAGGGAAAAAGCATCCAAGTACCTAGCTTGATGAATATACGTACATGTGATAAGCTTCATGATTCTTCTTATACATTACACAACGATCTAGAATTGGCATTATCAAGGAACAATTGTAGCACTTTTGTCAGGACCAATAGGCCTTGGTGACTCAATTCAGGCTGAAATGCTGGCTCTCCTACAAGGCCTGGAACTGGCCGAGTAGATTGGAACAACATAAATGGAAATTGAAGGAGATTCACTCCTGGTCATATCTTGGGCAAACCAAATCAGTTCAGTACCTTGGAAGCTTAGATTTGTCTTCAGAGAAATAGACCAACTTGCAAGGAGGTTTAATACTAGCTTTGGTTGAGTGAAGAGGGAAGCAAATGGACTGGCGGATGTCCTAGCTTAGGGCTACATTGTAATCTGGGTCACTACCTTGCTGTAACTTTAAAACTTCTGTACTCTCATCAGTAATTGATGATTTAATAAAAGTTTATTTGCTGATAAAAAAGGTTGAGGAGAGCAACTGGTGTGTAAACTCTGATTATGTTTTGTTTAGAGATTTGGTATCTTATTTGTTCTACTCATTATTGGATGCTTATTTTGCTTGAATTGTTTCCTTTTGCTCAAACAGCCAGCATTGATAATCTCATGGACATGGATATTGAAAATGGGGATACTGCTCTCTTCTTACTAAAATCCTGGAAATCTTTACCAGGATATCGCATGTTTTGAAGATAATTGCTATTTCTCAAAACTAATGTCTTGCCAAATTTAGTTAGATTTTTTATAGTATGATTTGTTAAAGCATACCATTTTACATATTTTAGTAGTGTTAATGCTATAGAATGTATCTAGAAGTATCCATGCAGTATCTGGTGTTGAATGATTTGAGGAACATGCGGTGTTGCAAAATTACAAAGATTTTGGTACCTATTATTGTTTGTCTGAAATGATATTCAAACTTACATTGTGATAAAACATGTCTTCAATTACAAAAGCAATTCTAGTTCTGAAATGGTGAGCTTTTTTTGTTAGACCAGAGTAAGTCCTAGAAGTTTCATTTGTCAGATCTAAGTTCTAAGTTTCTGATTATTGTTTTTTTATTATTGAAGGAAATCTGTTGCCTCTTTTTTTGCTGCATATGATGCGTTATGTGAGGAAGGAACTGCAACACCTGTTTGTAAGGCTCTTGATGAAGTTGCTGATATTTCTGTACCAGGTTGAGCTTCTGAGTGCATTTGATTTAATAATCTCAGCATCTAAAGCATTCCTTTGTTGCCTTTGCCATATCATTCTTCATATTGGTTTAAATGCAAAGTTGTAAACAAAAAAAGATGGGAGTATAGCTTTAGTGAAAGAAAGCAGAAGAAGAACAGCATAAAATACACAAAATACTATAGAAGTGTGTTTCAGAAGTAGATCAATTGGAGCAAAGAAAGGAGAAACTCAAAAAATATAGCTTTCTAGGGCTGTAAGAACCACCTTAGAGAATAAGTTTTCTCTAGAAAAATATTTACTTGATAACTTCTCCAAATGACTAGATAAAAAGGGGTAAGGTTCCATGCATGGTTTGAAGTGTCCATATTATTTCCTAATGTCCTTGACATATTTCCATTTCCAAGGGTGTCTACACGAAATATTACTAGAACCGACATATTCCCCAATGAAAACTAATAGCTTAATGTAGAGTACAAGATATGGTGACATGATTACCACTTTGAGCCAGCTTGGAATTCTTTTCAAATATGAAGTTAAATCTAAGTTTTTGTTTGTGATAGATTATTTGGTTGATTTGTTAGAATCATCTGCATTTTCTATGCGATAAAAGGAGAGAAAGTAGACTAAGATGGTCTGGTCACATGCATAGAAGAAAGTAGACAGCACTCATAAGAAGTGATCTGTTGCAAGTTGAAGGGGATAAAAGGGGTATGGGTAGACCAAAAAGGACATGGGTCAAAGTGGTAAGAAATGATTTAAGTGCTAATAATTTAATGGATAAGGCATTAAACAGAACAGAATGGCAAAACAGGATTCCAGTAGCTGGCCACATATAATTGGGATAAGGCATGTATGGTGATGATGATCTGCATTTTCCCCGAGTTCAAGTTTTGCTCTAACTCAATCTATCAGGATTCCAGTAGCTGGCCACATATAATTGGGATAAGGCATGTATGGCGATGATGATCTGCACTTTCCCCGAGTTCAAGTTTTGCTCTAGCTCAATCTATCATGATGACTCCTAAAGTATACATACCAACTTCACAGCATATTGTTTTGTCTATTAACCATAATTTCGTTGTTTATTGGTCTAGAATGAGATAATGATTTAAGAAGGTGCATCTATGCTTCTTTCATCATTTCACAAAATATCATTATATATTTTTGCATATTTCACACTGTTTCTACCATGTCTGTAATTTTTTCAATTTTTCCATACAACATTTCTGACATGTTTCTTTTATTTGGGTGATAGATATTTCCACTGACACTGACATTATAAACCTCAGTTCCATAAGATTCAGTCTTTAAGAATGAAACAAATAACCAGCAATGAGGAAATGAAGGTTGGATTGTCTTTTGGAACACCTCTTGAGAAATGATTGTGTTACCAAACCTTGTAGGACACGGGGCAACAGTGTAAGTGGGATACATACTCCTCTCCATTCCACACAGTGGCACCCTTTTTTTTTGATAAATAAAAGTTCATTAAGAATTCATTATCATCAAGAAGATAAAAAACTGTTACAAGCATCCCAAAGGGAGGCGCGAGGTGCAGCCTCACTCTTTAAAAGAAAAGAAAACAGCACAAAGATTACAGTTGGGCCCAATATAACTGATCCCTAGTTACTCCTTGCTTGGCTAGAAAGTCAGAAAATGCATTAGCCTCTCTTCCCACCCATTGTATAGTCAAATTCATATGTTGTGTTACCCATTTGAATTTCTTCCTTTCATTTCTATAACACCATATCAGTGAGTCTGGATCTCTAAGCCACACAGTGACATCTATTTTCAAGGACCCTCTTTTATCAAATAATTGCAGTGTTGCATCTTGAATGGACACTCCACATTTGGTGGACTTGTAAGTCTGCATGTCCATGAGTTGATTCATGGAGGACTGTTCAGATCGCATGTTTGACTTGTTTTCTGAATGCTTGAAGTGAATTGGTATGCTAAACCACTGTGTTTTCCTTTTTTTTTTTTGATGAATAACTGTTGTATTTTATTGACTATAAGAAAAGTACAATATGTACAGCCTCATGGACATATACAATGCAGAGATAGATGAGTACAACTAGCATAGGGATATGATTGATATCTCTTTTTTTGAAGATGAAATCTTCAAAGGATTGTCTGCTGGTTCATTTGGGAGGAACAGAACAATAGAATCTTCAAAGAATGCCAAAATCCATTAGAAGTAGTCATTGGGAAGATGGAAAGGATGCTGGTGTTTTTTGCGGGTTTTTCAGTACAAGCACTTATATGACGACTAACAACAGCTCATAAGAGATAACGACTTTTCTTTTGAAGATATTTTTTTTTATGGTAAAAAGAAAATTCATTAAAAGAAAAAGCGAATTAAACCTAGAGAGGTGTTGAGGGAACACCTCCAAACAAAACTTAGGACCAAAAAACTCCCAAACACTTTCTTGAAAACTTTACACCCAAATCCATCACACCAACCACACAAAACTCTTACTAAACCAAACACCCCAAAAGAAACATAAAACAAAACCCAAAATTTGAAACTTTTGCATTAAACATACAAACAAAATTTGAAGATATCTTTGTACATAACAGCCTATAAGTATATAGATACTTTTGTACACTTTTTTGAAGGAGACCTCTCCCTTCTAATATAAAATTTCACTGTAAAAGAAAAAATGCCACTCTAGCTGCACTAGCAAGCCAGCAAGTTAGTGACATTAGATTAGCTCCTTACCCCTAAGAGAGTAAGAGCTTCTTCCTTCACTCTACTTGTCTTAGAGTGGTATTAGATTAGCACCTAACGTACTTAGTAGGTGGTGTGTTAGTTCCCATTGGTAAAGTAAGTATTCTACCTGTAAATTGCTTACCCACCTTGCACATTACTGCAACACCAAGTACAGTCTCCATAAGAATAGAGGTGGAATACAATCTGTGAATCCACTTTTGAAGCAATGGTTTCTATGTGTTTCTGCTCCATTTTTTAGAAAACGACAGACTTAATTTATACTAACCAAAATTTATACTAATATTAATTTTTGCTTATTTACCATCTTCAAGTTGATGAAGCTAGTTTTCATCCTTTCTTTTCCTTTTAGTAGTTATGCTTGGTTGATATTTCTATTATAAAATTCTATCAATAATATTGATAGTTTGTACCAATGTGCAGGATCAAAAGACCATATAAAGGTGCAAGGTGAAATCTTGGAGGGTCTTGTGGCTCGTATAGTTAGTCCTGAGAGCTCAAAACATGTGGAGAAAGTTTTGAAAGAATTTCCTTCACCTCCATTAGATGGAGGTAAAGCATTATTGCCTGCCTCTCTTGTTTTAATCTGACCAGATAACACAATCTATCATGTGCTCCCATCTTTAGTGCTGAAGTCCTTTCTCATCAGCAACCATGTTCCAACCAATGTAGCTTGTTCCATTTGGTTTTATGTTTATGTTGTAATCCATTTATTTATTTTTCAAGATGCATCCATATTCATATGCATATGACAATTGATTATGCATAGCCTCTTTGTATCTTTTTACAATTAATTTACTTAAAAATAAAACTAAGGATATCCAGAAGTATCCAGTATTTTATTTATACTTTAATCCATGTCACCTGGTTTTTTTGGTGGAGAGGGTTGAGGTCTTCTCAATATCCTATGTGCTAGTAATTTTTTGATTCAATAGCAACGGATGTAAGTTAGCTCAAGATGTATTTGTTTTTTCTTATTCCTTCTGTGTTTTTTTTTTCCATTAATAAAAATCCTGTTGTATATTAAACTTTTCCATTTATAATGTTTTGCCTTGAACTCTAGCTGGTCAGAACTTAGGGCCAAGCCTTCGGGAAATATGCGCAACTAATCGGTCAGATGAAAATCAGGTAAGTTGGACTGCCTTCCTGTAAGGAGTATGATCTTTATCTCTTTGCCTCTTTCTACATGTGCACAAGGACACACATATATGAACATAAATGATATTACCTTAGTTTCTTTCCAGTTATGTTTTTGACGAAGACAGATATTTATCATACTGTCATTAACTTTTTTACTTTTCCAGCAAGTTAAGGCACTGCTTCAAAGTGTTGGGACCTCTTTCTGCCCTGCTTACTCAGATTGGTTTGGAAATAGAAAAGGTGATGTCCATTCAAGAAATGCTGATCGATCCATCCTTTCAAAGTTTTTGCAAGCACATCCTGCTGATTTTGCCACTACCAAATTGCAGGTGAGGCTACTAACCAAGATCTTCATATTTCCTATAATTTGGAAATAGTTCTACCTAATTTTGTTGTTCCAGTTTTCCATTTTCCTGTATTTGGGTGCTTAATTTTTATCTTTGATCATCAACTTATTAAAGAGATTTAAGAAGCAGTAGGGTCTGAAGTGAGAACAAAGCCATCTAAAATGCCCAAGAAGGGGATTAGACTCCTTGGCTTCCCAACAGAGAAGGCCAGACAGCATCAAAACTATCTAGGTCGAGAAATAAAAATTAAAGCTATCCTGGGAGAGTTTCTCCCTAAACAGCTATACTTATTATATTTTCTTTTGATCACTAGCAAAAATGGAAAATGTAATGTTCATAAAAAAATTTATAGGATGATAAATCATTTCCATACACAACATGAACAGAATTTGTACTTTTTAACCCTTCCGAAAGTCCAAAGAAATATAATCATTTCATAAAGCAAGATGATCGATGTCTTTGGATTCTTTTTGACATTTGGCTGTAGTCCATTAAATACAACCTTGTAACTACATAAAATTTTGTGGTTTTTCTGTTTCATTTTTTTATTGAATCTTTAAAGAATGGCAAAAGGAATAATCCTCTGTAATATCTGACCCAAAATCCAGAAGAGAGGGAAGATGATTGCTGTACTGCACCTCTTACTTGCTGATGAAGCAACAATACACAATAGGCTAAGTGTAGGCTTCAACTCTTTAGTGGTTGATCATGAACTCCTTATCAGGAGTAACTATTACAAGTATGCAAAAATCCCCCAAATGTTTTAGAAAGAATCTATTAAGATAAGGTTTTTTGTATAAAAATAGTTATAGAAAGAACCATTGAAAATATGGCTCCTGCATCATCTCTAATGAGTGAAGGGGATGAGAGTTCCATCCTATGGACACCCAAATCTTGCGGAATAAAGGGGCGAATTTCAAAAATTTTTCTCTCCCTTCAGCTGGGAATCGCATTCCCCATTTAGAAAATCATATTTTCAAGGATCAATCTTGAACCATAAACTGAACCAGATCTGAACCAAAAGGAGTAGAAGAGGGTTATACCTGATACAGAAAAATAATATCTCCCAACGAAGGTGTTCACGCCCAAGGAAGGATCCAAAGACTGCTCCTACTGAAGATGGCGTAGTGCAGGATGGAGCAGAATCAGCAGTATTCTTCTCCAAGAATTCTGTCATTCGCAAGAAACAGCAGGATGGCCCATGAGCACAGCTTCCTATTAATTCTTTCTCAAAGAACTGATGTCAAGATCGAATCTTGACTTCTCCCACCACTGGAGATCGAACTAAATGTCTGGCGGCTGCAGGATGGAGGCGGCAAGAAAGATCTTTGCAGGGATTGCAGAAATCTTTCTTCTGTGATTTCAGCTCTGAAGAGGATGAGTATTTGTCTTCTAAAGGCTGCCGCCCCCTTATTTGTAACCCCAAAGAATCAGTTCCTAATCCAATTAGGAGTTGCTAATCCAAATCTTATTTGGATCAAAACATCTCTTTAGGTGATAAGGATAAACCCTTATCTTATCTGTAGATTGGATCAATCTTCTCCTAATCTTATTTGGAGGTTTCCAAATCCAAATCACATTTAGATCTGGACTCTCTGAGTGGATAGGGTTAAGGCCCTATCTTATCTGCTTGATCCATCTCAGAATTCGCCCATATTT